AGTGAAGAAAGCTTTACTGATTGGGAGTAGCGGAGCCAACGAGACTCTGTAAGGTACTGTGGACAGGGTAGTTGGTCTTCTTAATATTGGCCAGTATCGTCACAGGAGTCAGAAAGCAGGTTCCAAAATATACCAGGCTGTATTAGTCGGCGCATTGAGATTTAATAGTACAGTTACGTTGGGGAGACAAATGGAGAGTGTCAGCATAAATGGACATGTTAGATATAGGGGAGTTTCCATTAGTTATTTAGGTATAAGCACTCAGGGTAAGGGAAATATTGTTTTGGTTGCGCCGAACCTATACCGTTTACAGTGTACGACTAGTTACTACTAGTCCGAGACGTTGCGCGGAATTAAGCGCGGATATCAGAAGGAAATTGGAGTCGGACACAGCGGACTCTATTCGATGGGCTACAACAAGAAACGGACGGATGAAGCGAGACGAGAGCGTACACGTGAGCGCGGGAACTAACAACGCGGTTACGTGTAGAGCCGGTTGTAAGATTAAAACAAGAAGGAGTAATGTACAATCGGTCAACAAGTAAATTGTACATGAAAGAAAAGAGTTATCTTTTTGGGCACTACACAGCTCCCCTAGAAGGCTGAACATAGAAAGCCTTCGAAATCGAAACGGAAGGTTGGAACGAGGTTCGTAAGGCGAAATCGTGGCGAGTAAAAATGGGCGCGCGTTTGTGTAAATGGGGGTTCGTCAGGCGTCGGAGTCCGCTTTGCCGTTCATGATTTGTTATTTATTGTATGCAAGGCAGGGTGCATTGCGGCGAGCCGTTGGAGCGGGCTTGTCGGACTACAAAAGCTGGCTAGCCCAGAAAAAGGCCGACGGGACCCCAACCTCAACTGCTGCCAAACGGTGCGCTTGGGAGTGGTCTCTCCCCCCGCCGCACCCCGCCCCGTGCCAAAACGACCTTCGTCCCACGTAGAAAGGACCATGGTCTCACGGAGAAAGGACCCTCGTCCCGCTAAAAAGCGACATTCGTACCGCGGAGAAACAACACTCGTCCCGAGGAGAAACGCGCAGTGTTCGTGTCAGGGTCCTTGAAAACCTTCCTCATGGGTGCCAGTCGAACGAAAGGGAGACTTAGGGCATGTAAAGAACAGAAAAAGAAAAACAAGCGCAGAAAAGGCAAAAAAGAACAAACGAATGAGCTGCGTTTAAATAAATTTTATTTTTTGAATATTTTTTTAAAAGGTTTTATGGAGGTTTTTGATATTTTTGTTTGTTTTCAAAACGTTAATCGACCAGAATTGAGGCAAATATTTACAATATCTACAAAGTTAAAGGTATTTACACTGTACATAGTCGGAAAATTGGGCGGGTTTATGCACCTCCCGACCACGGCAATTGGTCGTGGGAGGCAGCGGGCTAGATCCGGGAGATGTTGGGACGGCCTGTAGACCGAGATCGTGGTCTGGTTGAACTGGACTATGATGCTGTAAGCTGGTGGGATGAGTTTTGACGTCGCACGAAGCACTACTAGACGAAATAGGCGAGGTAGTCTCTTCCATAAAGGCGGGTTTCAGACGGTCGATGGTGACGACTTCGTGTCGACCACCGCGGTCAATAGTGTACGCCTTACTCGCACGATGCAGCACCTTGAAGGGTTCTATGTACGGCGACTGAAGTGGCTGTCGAACACCGTCTGCGCGAAGAAGGACGTGTGAACACGTAGACAGCTTCTCGGGCACGTACACTGGTGTCTTCTGCGATCGAGGAGAGGGTGGACGTAGCTCACGCATCTGGTGAGCCAATCGGTCAGTGTAACTTCGGTAGTCAAAAGTGGAAGTACATGGGGCTGGCGTTACCAGCTGTCCGGGCAACCGCAGCGTGCAACCGTAGACTAGCTGCGCTGGTGTGGCGTGGAAGTCGGTCTTAACCGTGTTTCTTAAGCCTAAGAGAACGTGTGGAAGCGTTTCAGGCTATGCAGGGTCTGCGTGCGCACGTAGCGCTGCCTTCAACTGAAGGTGAAAGCGCTCCACCATGCCGTAAGCGGCCGGATGATACACCGTCGTCTGGATGTGGCGACAGCCTAAATCTTGAGCAACATGGCAAATATCGAAGAGAAATGTGACCCTCGAACGGTAGTCACGATAGCGGGACAGTCGTATTGAGCTACCTAGTGCTCCATAAAAGCTTTCGCTACTGTTTTCGTGGAGTGATTTAGGATAGGGACGGCCTCAGGCCATCTAGTAAATCGATCGATGTAGGTCAGTAGATATACAGAGCTTTTGGAAGGCGGCAGAGGACCTACGAGGTCGACGTGCACGTGGTGAAAACGTGCGTCTGGCGTCGGAAGCGTGCCTAATGAGCTCGTGCGCTTGTGCACCTTCGCACGCTGACACGGAAGGCAAGCAGCTGCCCAAGTACGGACGTCCCAATTAACACTGCGCCAAACGACTCGTGCGGTTACGAGTTTAACCGATGCACGAACGCCTGGATGAGACAAGCCGTGCAACGCGTCGATCACGGTCTGCCGAAACTCGCGTGGGACGACTGGGCGCGGCGTGCCCAGAGACAAATCGCAGAGTATCGTTCCGTCTGCTGATGTCAGCTGCACGAGTCGTATATCTAATGAGTCAGACCTGCGTAGTAGATCAAGCTCAGGATCGTTGAGTGGTGCTGTGGCCATGGCTGCCAAGTTGATAGCAGTGCCAGCGGCAGCGGAGATAGCTTGGATGCAAGAAAGTGCATCGGCGACGGCGTTGTGCACACCTGAGACATGCCATATATCGGCCGTAAACTGAGCGATGTAGTCAAGATAGTGCGACTTTCTAGAAGAGTATCGGTCGGTAGTCGAGCCGAGCAAGTAAGTCCGGGGTTTGTGGTCGGTGAAGACGACAAAGAAGCGGCATCCTAGGATGTGTCTAAAGTGACGTATCGCTAGATATACAGCTAGTAGTTCTCTACCGAACGTGCTGTAGCCAGCTTCGGTAGGTTGTAGGCATTTGGAGAAAATGGCTAAGGGTTGCCACGTGTCGGCTACTCGTTGCTGCAAAACACCGCCGACTGTCACGTCCGAGGCGTCAGTGCTGAGGGACAGTGGGGCGGCCGATCGTGATGCGCTATAGAAGCTATGTGGGCGATAGCCTCTTTTAGCGGCTTAAAAGCAGCGCGTGCTGCGGCACGGAATTTAAACATCTTGAGTTTCCCTTGGAGGAGATCCGTGAGGGGTTGCATCAGCGAGGTGCTTTTGGGTATAAATCGTCGGTACAAGTTAACAGGGCCATCAAAACGCCTGAGCTGTTTGAAAGAATGAGGCTTGGGGTAGTCAATGATGGCTTGAATTTTATCCTGCAGTGGCACGACGCCCGCAAAGGAGACACGATGGTCCAGGAAATTGACTGAATCGACACCAATCGAACTCTTTTCTGCATTGATCGTCACTCCGTGTTGAGATCAACGACCAAAAAGTGTTCGTACGTGGCATATGTGCTCTTCTCGTGAAGAGCTTACGTTTAAGATGTCGTCAAGATAGGCGTAATCGAAGTTTAAACCGTGACAAACTTGGTCGATGAAACGCCGAAACGTTGGCGCGGCGTTCTTTAGGCCAAATGGCATACGCAGAAACTCGAACAAACCAAATGAAGTCGTCACGGCAGTTTTAGCGATGTCCGCTTCGGCTACCGGAATTTGGTTGTATGCGCGTATCAAGTCGATTTTGCTGAAGATTCTTTTACCCGCTAGACTGGCGGTGAGATCCACTATGTGTGGCATCGGATAGCGATCGGCCGTTTGCACCGTATTCAAAGATCGGTAGTCACCGCAAGGACGCCAGTCCCCCAGGACCTTCTATAGGACCATAAGCAGAGGCGACGCCCATGGGCTGTTGGACGGTCTCACGATACCAAGTTGAAGCATGTTGTCAAATTCGGCTCGTGCTGCCCGTAGTTTGTCTGGAGCAAGCCGTCTTGGTCGTGCGTTAACTGGTTGACCGCGCGTAACTATGTGGTGAGCAACCTCTGTCGTGACTGGTGGAAGCTCTGCAGTCGGTCGAACCAGTCGCGGGTGTTCGGAGAGGAGGCGCAAGTTGTCGGACGGTGCGTCTGCGATCCGAAATACAGGGCTGATTATCGGGGCATCTGAATAGACGCCATCGACACCTAGTTTCGTATTATCATCTAAAAGTCTGTGGCGACCAGCATCAACAAGCAACCCAAAATGTCGGAGGAAGTCGATACCGATAATTGCGAAGGGTACAGACGCAACCATGAAGATCCACTGAATACCTCGGCGCAGATTGAGGTCTAGGTTCATCATGCGCTGACCGAATGAAGCTATCGGAGAACCGTTGGCCGCACGCAAATTGTACTAGGCTCCGAGTGCTTGTCACTAGCGGTCGCTGGGATGACGCTGACTTCCGCTCCCGTGTCGATGAGGTAGGTGATGGAAGAGCGTCGATGCTTAACGTAAAACAGTTGGTTTGCTTGTTTATTGAATGATACGTTTGTAGTGCTAGTATGCGGGCTATTCGTTTTCCCTGGGTCGTGCCTAATGCAGGGAGCTCGACAACGTCTAGCTCTTCCACCGTATTGGCGGTGATACCAACATACTTCTTCGACGGGTTTGACATTATCTGACTGAGAACTTGTAAGGAAAAGGTTGCGCTTTCGTGCCAAACGTGACGTACTCGGTGCAGGCACAGACGAGCCGCAATGAACGGTAGCCAAAACGTGGTCAGCATTTGACCGTGGCGCACGCTGCTTTGAAGCCTTCATTGCTGCTATCCTGCTACGAAGTAGCGCAATTTCCTCGTCTTTATAGTCAGATCGGTCTGGCGACTGGGAACAAACATGAGATTCGGTTTTCATCGGTGAGAATACGTCACCGGAGTTACTGGTCGTCTGCTGCGGAAACCGTTCAAACGCAGCGTCTGCCTTGGTAGCTAAGTCTTTCAGGGGTGCATGTATAAACATGGACAGCATTACGGGCAATGGCTCTGGGAGGCGTGCAAACCACAGCGCCTTTATCCCTTCTTCGCTCAAGAATAAGGGACCAGCGATGCGCTGAAGTTCGCGGAGCAATGCCGACGGCTTGCCATCTCCAAGCTTGAGACCATTGAGCTGCTCAAATCGAGCTCGTGCGCTGGGCCGTAACTCTTTCAAAATCGCTTGCTTCATCGTTTCATACTTTGCCTCATTCAATGGGCAGAGTAGAACGTCCTCAATCAGCGTCACTACCGACGAAGGAAGGCGTGGGACGAGCTGATTGTATCTTGGACGGTCTGCCGTTATGCCCTTATTTTCTAGTTCGATCGCTAATATCTTAAACCACACTTCTGGACTGTGTCTTATGAAACTTGGAACAGCCAAAGTAAGCACGGTTACGCTGTGAAACGACTCAGATGCCACTCTCGAAATGTGGATCGAAATATAAAGAATGAACAAAATACGATAAAAGTACTAAAATTACGCAAGAAACAAATGCATATAGGTATATAATCGAGAAAAGGAACGAACTCACCAAAAATACAAACGAGAAAAAACGTTGAATTCGCGCGTGCGAATCGGGGTCACCAATTTGTAGGACTAGTTAATACTAGTCCGAGACGATGCGCGGAATTAAGCGCGGATATCAGAAGCCAATTGAAGTCGGACACAGCGGACTCTATTCGATGGGCTACAAAAAGAAACGGACGGATGAAGCGAGACGAGAGCGTACACGTGAGCGCGGGAACTTACAAGGCGGTTGTGTCGAGCCGGTTGTAAGATTAAAACAGGAAGGAGTAATGTACAATCGGTCAACAAGTAAATTGTACATGAAAGAAAGGAGTTATCCTTTTGGGCGCTACAACAGCTCAGTGCTCTGTAGGCAGTCAGAAAGTAAGAGAGTGGTCAGAGGAAACCAGGTCAGCACACTGCGCTGGGTTTCTGATAATGTGTCTAAAAGCAACTAGTGAGGGGAACAGAGTGTTCGGTCTTCCGAACAATGACCGGTAACATTCTGTGACGAACAAACTTATCCGATCGACAACGAGTTACGAAACTCCTCAACGAAACCGATCTTGGCAACATTAAGCTGTCTCAGCTGCTTCGAAAAATGCAGAGCCTAGCTAAACCCACTTCGATAGATGATTCTTTTCTTCGGGAAATGTGGTTGCAACGACTTTCGCGCGAGGTGCTACACATCCTCTGCGCTAGTGAGGATGCACCTTTATCCAAACTGGCCGATACAGCCGACGGAGTTTGGGAGTCGTACGGCCAGGTTTCGCAGATCCAACCGAAACCGGACGACGATATCGCCACGCGTAAATACCAGATGGCAACATTGACTCGACAATTCGCAGACTTTCCGGCCCCCGGACATAACCGCTGTAAATGCACTGGGAGCCGTTCGTGACAGCATTAGCTACTGCGACTTTAAGGTTTGAGAATGCTACCGCGCGGACTTGGTAAAAACAAACGAACGTTGATTGCCCCGAAGCAAGTCAGTCAAGGACTGCATTACCCTAGCACAACACGGAATAAAGCGTCTATAGTAGTTAACTATCCCGAGGAAAACTTTAAGCTGTTTAAACGACGTAGGTTCAGGGAAATCTTTGATGGCGGTTACCTTTTGAGACAGTGGTTCAATACCTGTAGCTGAGATGCGGTGACCTAGGAACCCGATCGACTATTTTCCTAGTTCGCACTTCCTGGGGTTCAAGGTAACGCCTCGATCAGATTGACGTTGAAATAGAGTACGAAGATGCTCTAAGTGTTGCAAATTAGAGGCGCTAGCTACTAGGATGTCATCCACGTAAGAATATGCGAAGTCCAGACCACGAGTAACGTCATGGATGAACCGCTGGAATGTTTGAGCAGCGTTCCTTAACCCGAAAGGCATTCGAAGGAAATCGAATAAAACAAAGGGTGTTATAACTGCCGTTTTGTGGATATCGCAGTCTTCCACAGGAATCTGTTGATATGCTCGCGTCAGGTCTACCTTACTAAACACTGACTTACCACCGAGATTACTTGTAAGGTCCTGGATGTGCGGCATACGATACCTATCTGCAACTGTGCACTCGTTCAGCGCCCGGTAGTCTCTGCAGGGCCGCCAGTCGCCGTCTTTCTTGGGCACCATGTGGAGAGGTGAGACCCACTGACTTTCGGAAGGACGGATGATACCAAGTTCGAGCATTGCTCGAATTCCGCCTTAGCGGCTTTTAGCTTATCAGGGCCGAGACGTCGTGGCCGTGCAGAAACCGGTGGGCCACAAGTTCGTATATAGTGCGTAACGATAGATGCGACCGGAAGCGTAGCGTCAGCTGAGTGGACCAGCTGCGGAAACTGTCTGAACAGATCTAAAAATTCCTTATCAGCTTCGGGCTGAATGTAAATGGGAGTGACAGAAACACAAGATGTGCGAACTCCACATGTGGAAAGCTGGGTCTATTGGTCAACGAGTTTGCGATGACGCGCATCGACGAGAAGATCGAAGTGTTGGAGGAAGTCGATACCCAATATAGCAAACGAAACAGCAGCGATGGTGAAAATCCATCGAAAGGGACGTCGTAGTCTGAGGTCAGTGGTAAGGGAGCGTTGACCGAAAACTCGGATAGCAGTGCCGTTAGCGGCACGCAAGTTGGTTATCTGTGGCTTAGTCGCTTCGCCTGGAACCGGTGGGATCACGCTAATTTCCGCCCCGGTATCAACCAGGAACATGATCCAGGTGTTCCTATCATTGATTTTGAAGAGGCGACTTGGACGACTTCGGCCGACGACGATCGTCGCCACTACTTCTCAGCCTGTCCTTTTCCCGTTGCGGGAAATGAGCATGGTTTTATACAATTTCTAGCGGAACTTCCAAAACGTGCGTGATAACGGCAAATTGGGCGTCGTGTTCGTCTTCGTGATGGGCTAGGGGAACGGGATGGAGTGTCCCGTTAGCGCCGATGTAACTTTTAGCTTTGAACTTCTTGCCGTAGCGCGGCTAACTCTGCTAGGAGCTCGCCAGTCATAGGTGGAGCAGCGGTGTCGATGGTTTGGACCGATGGGTCAGCAGTAAAACCTACGTCAGATGAGCGAACAGAACTAGACGACGGACACGGTGGTCCGGTGAAACGATCCATCATGTCATCAGCGATATCTGCGATTTCTGACAAAGGCTGCGATTTCGAAAGCGATAGCATAGCTTGTACGTTTTCAGGCAAACGCTGAAGCCATAACTGGAAGCAGCGACTCGTCCATATGCGATCCTTGAAGAAGACCACGCAGCTCTATCAACAACGCGGATGGCTTACTAGAACCTAGCTGTAGACCAGTAAAAAGTTTGTACAGGCGGGACTTCTCTGAGGGAGTAGCACGCTTTATTACAGCGTTCTTGAGCAAATTGTAACGGTCAGGAGAACGAGATGTAATAATAAGATCACGTAGTGCTATAGTAATATCAGTTGGCAGGCGTGTTAGCAAGTGGTTACATTTTGCAGCGTCACTAGTATCATGCTTAGAAGTAAATTCAGGTTTTAAAATCATGAACCACAAGACGGGATCTTTTTCAATAAATGGTGGAACTACCAGAGGTACCGCTTGCACAGACTGTGAGTCTTCACACCTTTTAGAAACTGAGGTCATGGTTTTCGTGGAAAATCCAAAGAAATGGAACGAACTCACCGGAATGCGATTAAGGTCACCAATTATGTAGCGCCTTGACGAATGCTACACAAGAAATCCGTAGCACAATAAGACATAGGACAGCAGGGTATAAAGATTGTCCTGAGAAAACAGTACAGTACAATAGGTATGTAAATATAGCTTGAGGACAATGGGAGAAAATGTTGAAGCAATTAGTAACACCACGTTGGAGCGCAACAGCCGGCAACGCGCGGGCAAGATGGCCGCCAAGTTCAAAATGCGGTTCGGTATATATGGGCTTTGGAGGAGTGCAAAGTAAAACAAAATGTGTACAAGTCTGATGGCGGTGCTTGATGAAGTAAAATGTCATTGTCACTACATAACAGACGACTTTGGGAAAACGGCTTGGACAAAGGTCCAAAAACAGCAAAAGGGATTTAACAGTTGATATGCGTTACTTTAGTGTAACACAAACGGAACTAGAACGCGGTGATATACAGTTCAAAGTACTGCGGGACAATACGCAACGAAAACGCACCGTTTGGTTCAAGGTCACAAAGGTTACTCTTTTCCTACAACTGTTATTCTATTGCATTACAACGCAGGTGGCTCTGTGACTCATTCTGTGACACTGTAGGTATCCACATGTGACTGAATTTCTTAATCGAGTGGCTACAGTTGGCCGCGGATTACCTGTCCACCGACGCTTCTACCTCGTTTCTCTTACCTTCAACAACTCTAGCTACAGTGATTTGGCGTTCGCCCCACCCATCCCTGCACATATTCAGGGCTTGCTAGGGGCCACTCCTTATCTTTCCAATTGTATTCTCGTAGACTGCATCAAATACTTTTGCTGGTTTGTTGACCTACTCCTTGACACAGTAGTTATTCATAAGTAACTAGAATGATTAACCCAACAAACACTTTTAGCCACGGAAAGTCAGTCCATTAGCACCATCTCTCGATCATCTTACCTTCGACACTTAGTCCTCCGTACATATCCATTTAACCCTAGCCTGCTTCTATTTTGCTCAGCTTCCTATCTTCATATACCCATGTAAATAAGAGTTATTATGTAGTCTTAGATAATTCTCAGCCCGTGGAGCATATTTAAATATCGCCACATTTTTCGCCTGGCAAGCCTTCTCCCTATAAAAAGCCACAAAAGTCAGTTTATCAACACTGTGACGTGGCGGCCGTGACTCGCCACTGAATAAAGTCACTGCCCACTGTTACACACTGGAATACCAACTAGGCATTATTTAATATTTTACTGTCACGTACAACAAAGATACTCTCCGCATTCATCTACTGGTCCCACTCCGCTTACCGTGCTTTTTTATTTACTTTACGCACCCGTGAAACCATTTTGTTGGTACTCCACTGATGACTGTGCTCCTCAGGTGTGCTTCCACTGTTCCTGCAATTTTACAACCTTTTGCCACAGCCAATTACATGCGTTGTAACGTATCCGTTGCACCACATAATTACTTGTAAATGTTGAGCATACCTCAGGTGGTATGGCTGGATGATTTCGAGAATAAAATATTTATTTATTTAAAAAG